CTCCTGAGGATGATCTCATTTTAACAGCCCCCAAACCACTCAGGATGCAGGAACTATTATTTCCACTTCTCAAAGGAGGGATCTACAGCTCAAAGAGGGTGAGGGACTTCCACGAGGGCCCACAGCTGCCAAACGGCTGAGTTGGAAGGGTTTAGCCTACACTGCACTGGGTCCTTTGCCTTGTTCCCTCCTGTGCTCCCCGACTGGAACTGCTGAGGACTCTGGGCCAGGACTCCCAGCCACCCGACTACCCAGATGGCCCATAAGTAACCACACCCCCACATCTCCACTTGCGGCTCTCCGAGCCCTCCCCCATGGTATGCAACATCTTCCACAAAATTCCTTCCCTTCTGCAATGTGGGAAACCTTCTATAGGTGGACGGTCATCAGTGTCACTTCAGAAGCACCCCGCCCCTTTGCCATCATAGGCAATGATTCCTCCCCATGGTCCTGTAGGTCTTTCTCCTAAATATGACTTCTGGGTATCCCCTCCTTTCTGTGCCCCCATACTGAGATGTCACCTAGTTATCACTGTTACCATTATGGAGGTTGGAAGAGTCCCTGAAGGAGTGAGGGTGGCCACTGAGGTCTCTCACATCCTGACGGGGGTGAGAGGGGTGGGGGGGGCTTCGAGGGAGACTCTTGCAGCCTCCTCACCATTGTTGGTAAACTGCAAATAGTCAAAACAATGGCTGTTAATCCCCCAGAACAGTTGCTGGGGAAACTGGCTGAAAGTTCCCCCCATCCCCCGCCCACCCCCGCCCCAGCCCCCACCCCCACCCCCACCCCCCTGTAAAATCTGTAAATCTCCCACCTCCTGCCCCGTGTGACTGAGGGTCTGGAGCCTTCTTGGTGGGCATTTCTGTGTAGACTTCTCAGCTCCGGCTGGTTTCCTCCCACAATCTAAGAATCTTCAAATCTTAGTCTCCAAGGTTGTGCCACGGGGTGCACCTGACTCCTGCTGTGACCTCCACCGGCACCTCATCAAATCTGCAGAGATGGGAGTTAGGTTGTTTTTTCCAAGCCAGACTATCTCCACCTGTATCTTCCTCATCACACTCTGTGCATGTAGACTGTGTGATTCTGTGTGTCTTTGGGGCATCCCTATGACGTGCTTGTCTCACTAGTCTCCAGTCTCCATGGAGCATTTGTACATTTGTGTTGCTATGGCTGTGGCAGGTCAGCACCTCCTTCCTATCCCATAGGTCCCTGGTGTGTTTTGCATATTTGTTGCATACGTTTTATGTCTGTCGTATATCTTTTCTGTTGTGATGTTGTATTTGTGTTTCCAGGCTGTTTTCTAGAGTGTCAGCATCCCACACCTGTCACATAGTGTCCCCAGGGTGTGTGTGGAGAGCCCCCAGGTTGTGCTGGGCTGTGTCAGTAGAAAGCACTTGTCACACAGAGTTCCCAAGATATTCATGTCTGTAGGCTGTACTGCAGTATCACACCTGTCACACACCTGCGTCATAGGGTGCTTGACATGATTGTGTATTTCCAGGCTGCACCATGGTGTGCTAGCCTAAAATGTCACATTGCATGTGCCTCTAGGTGTGTCAACGTTACACACCTGTCCACTGGCACCAGCCCTCCAATCATCCATCCCACCAATATCCAGTTTGCAGGAGATGTGGTGGGGGGCTTGGCATCTTAAAACAGCATCAGAGAGATGCGAAAAGCCAAATCTAGAATGTGGGAAATTCTTATGAACAAATGACCCACAGCTTCAACAAATAAATTATAAGAATAAAAAAGAGGAACGAAGTGCCATGTATAGGTTAAAGAGTGACATACAAGCCATCCCTACCACAAGCCGTGTGGGTACATGATGGATACTGATTGCAGTGAAGCTGCCTTAAAGAACAAACACATTTGAGACAACTGAGAAAAGAAAACGCCGATAGCAAATTTTATGATATTTGGAATATTTTAATTTTATGTGATCAAGTAATTAAAGTTCTAAAGTGCTTACGTTTTGAAACTTTATTCTGAAGTAGGTCAGTGATATTTGGAATTTTGCATAAAATGACCAGGTATTGTGTGTGTGTGTGTGTGTATTGGAACACAACTCAGTAATATAAAAAGCAAATGACTGATAGATGCCTAAACATGGATGAATCACAAGGAAATTATGAGCAAAGGCAGCCATCGAAAGCAACTATAAACTGTATAGTCCATTTATGTGAAGTTCTAGCACAAATGATATGAATGAACAATTGTATAAATTAGAACAGTGCCCACCTGGGACGGTAGGTGCAAAGGGACATGAAGGAATGTGTTTGGGGTGATGAAAATGTTTCATCTCATGACTGGGATGTTTTGGGTTTAGATACTAAGGGACACAACACTCCTGCAAATAATCATTATTAAATATTTTAATGGACTCCTTTTTCAAATATAAGTAAATATCTTAAAGAGGAAAGTGGATTCACTGCTGCAACAGATAAGTCAGCTCCACTTGGAATAACAGATGTCAACCACAAAGATAAGTCCAGTGACCTTCTTGATTCCACCCTGAGAGCGAGCCCTCTCCTCTCCAGCACATGAGCAGAAACTCCAAAAACAGATCTGAACCTCACCTCAGTTGAGTTGGACAGGGTTCTGAGTGGGAACCCACCTTTGTATAATTAAACTCTGCATACAGTCCCTGAGATCACAGTCGCATGGAGGCCAGGCATGCGTACTATCTGTGATTTCTTTTTTTTTCTTTCCTTTTTTTGTGAGGAAGATTAGCCCTGAGCTAACATCCATTGCCGATCTCCTCTTTTTGCTTGAGGAAGATTGTCACTGAGGTAACATCTGTGCCAATCTTCCTCGATTTTCTGTGGGATGCTGCCACAGCATAGCTTGATGAGTGGTGCTGTGTCTGCACGGGGGATCTGAACCAGCGAACCCCAGGCGGCTGAAGTGGAGCGCATGAACTTAACCGCTACACAACTGGGTCGGCCCCCTATCTGTGATTTCAGTACCTGCACAATGCCTGACAGAGTCGTACAAGCAGCCAGTATGTGGAGGAGAGCTGTCAATGTGAGTTTAACTTGCAAAATCCAAGCATATTGGTTAAGCAGAGGATTGATAGAGAAATTAATTCGGACACTAACCGGAGCTAGCACAAACCTCTCAGGCTGAGAGCTCAGTCCCACAAGACTGCCCCCCACTTCAGATGCCAATCACAAATAGTAGGTCCCCAGGTTACCACAACTTCTGTCTGACTAGGCTCCAAATTAGAGGTTCCTATGACCACCTTCCTCAGATGTGATCATCTGCTAGGACAGCTAGAACTCAGGAAAACATTCAAGTTGAACAGCTTATTATATAATAAATGATGTAAAAGATGCAGATAAACAGCCAGATGAAGAAATTCATAGGGCGCGGTCTGGAAGGGTCCTGAGCTCAGGAGCTCCTGTCCCTGTGGAGCTGGGTGTGCCATCCTCCTGGCATGTGGATGTGTTTATCAAGCTCTCCAAACTCCCTACTTATGAAGGCGTGATTGATCATTCACTCAATCTCCAGCCCCTCTCCCCTTCTTGGAGGATGGGGGAGTGGGGCTGAAAGTTCCAAGCTTCTAATTATGGTTTGGTCTTTCTCATAACCAGCCCTCACCATGGAGCTATCCAGGAGCCCACCAAGAGTCGCCTCATTAAAACAAAAGACACTCCTTTCACACAGGAAATTCCAAAGGATTTAGGAGCTCTGTGCCAGGAACCAGGGGGCAGAGATCAATACCTATATTTTATTATTTTACAACCCACCTCCCAGAGGTCTTTCCAAAGAAAAATTTCCCCTTGTACCAAGAAGTATGTGCAAGAATATTCACAACAGCATAACATCTGGAGACAGCTCAGGAAAGAAGATTGGTAAATGGGCTTCTCCACACAGTGGGGCATTATCCACAGCCCTAGTTCTCCCTTCTGTGGATGCAATGAGAGAATCAGACAAATGTCACAATTTACCCTGCAGAATGCCCACTTCCATGATACAAACCATTTTTACATGGCACCTTCTAGTTTCTCAGTGAGACTGAGCCCCAATTTCCTATGGAAAGCAGCTCACACTTGCAAATGTCTTCCCAACAACAGCACAGTTACTTCTGCCTCAGCACTGCACGGAACCCTTTCTTTTTCTCCAAACTGCCTTTCAAACTAGTTCTGCAGATAAGCGCTCCTGTCCCCCATACTTTTCATCTCTGGGAGAAATGGATGGAAAACATTTGACTTTTTTGGTACATGTTAATAAAATAGCATTCTGCAACTTTCAGTCACCAGTCATATTCAGGTCCAATTTAGCTATTAATATTTCCAAAGAATTAAAGATATGGTTATAGCATTTAAAATATAAATGTTCCTTTTAATCAGCTAAGGCCTATTTCTGGGTTTCCGCCTCTGCTCCCCACTTTTTAGGTGCTGTGGCTGCACTAGAGAGAAAGGGTGTGGACAGAGGACGGGCGGCAGGCAGGGAAAGCCTCCCCGGACCACTGTGAGCTGGGGTTTGTGTCCTGGGGTTGGACATTCCTGGATTCTAAGGCATAAACACCAACATTACACATTCATTCATTTATTCAACAGATATTTATTGGTCGTTTGAAATGTGTCAGCCACTTTCCTAAGCACCTGAGATACTTTAGTAAACAAAACTGAGAAATTCCCTGCCCTCATTTAGCTTACACTTTAGTGGAGTGAGACAATAAATGGAAAATATAATCGGAAAATTATAAGATGTGTTCTAAATAGAGAAGTACTAGGAAATACACATACCTGTACAGATTTGTATACATTACATTGGGGCTGTACCCAAGGAAGCATCTGGTGTGGAGGGAACACTTTTTTTTAAAGATTTTATTTTTTTCCTTTTTCTCCCCAAAGCCCCCCCGGTACATAGTTGTGTAGTCTTTGTTGTGGGTTCTTCTAGCTGTGGCATGTGGGACGCTGCCTCAGCGTGGTCTGATGAGCAGTGCCATGTCCGCGCCCAGGATTCGAACTAACGAAACACTGGGCCGCCTGCAGCGGAGCGCGCAAACTTAACCACTCGGCCACGGGGCCAGCCCCCTAGAGGGAACACTTTTGAAGGCAATTTTCTGGTGAGTCCTCAGGTGGCGGTGGTAGGTGGATGACTGGCGGTAGCTTCTCTGGCAAAGGGAACACACATAGGGCTTCTCCCCTGTGTGGATTCTCTCATGAGCCCGAAGGTTGGTTTTGTGGCTGAAGGACATTTCACATGTGCTGCACTTGAAAGGTTTCTCTCCTGTGTGAATCTTCTGATGCATGCGTAGGTCTGATGCCTGGAAGAAGCCTTTGTCACACTGGCCACAAATAAATGTCCTCTCATTATTGTGTCTTCTTTGATGGGCTTTTAACCGAGACAGATACCTAAAGATCCTGGGACACTTCTCACATTTGTATGATTTGGGGGCTCCCTGGGATCTTTCTTGGTGTCCCCCACATGCTGAGTTTCCCTCAATGCTCTGGTGGGTAGGAACACGCTCAGGCGTAACCTGGTTTGGCCGGGAGAGAAACCCTGGTCTCACCTCTATAAGGACATCTTGATAAGGGGGTCCTTTCAGGGACTCTTCCTGGGACCTGCAGCTGCCTAGACCTGCTCTTCTGGAGCTGAGTGGATTCTCCAAAGGAACACCTCCCTCTCCAGGCCCAGGACGGTTCTCTCCCTGGATGATGAGTAGGGAAGGTGTTTGATTGCCTTGACTAGTCATACTGTCATTTACTTGACAAGTTTTCAAAGATATGTTGCCACCATTTTCTTTGTCTTCATCTCCTGTGAAAATAAAGAAGTGATTCAGTGAAGTCGTACCCAAGAAGGGGTCCACACAGAACATCCCTCTAGTATCTGGGCTCCCCTCACTCACCTTGTTCTGTTTCCAGAGAATGATCTTTGGGAGTCTGGAAAGGGGTCCCCATGTTCTCTCCAGTTTGGGTTCCTGTTGAGAACTGTTTCCTGAGGTGAACTATGACTTCTCTTAAGGGCATATTCTCAGAAAAGAGAGCTTCCTGCCCCTGCATGCAGACGTGGACCTGTAAACAAAGTCTGTTCACTGTTGTGTATAGATCTGTTGAATGACAGAAAACCTCCCCTTGTCAAGCTTTCCCAAGATTCCTCTATTGCCTGCCCCATACCTGCTGTCCTGCCCTTGTCTTCCCTAGCCTTAAATTTCATGTAATTTCTTGTTAGTGTGTCTTCCTCAATGAAAAAAGACAAATATTAAGGCTTTCTGAGGGAAGCACCAGCTCGTGTTAAGGCATTTCTCCTCATCCTTGAGGTTTCTGCTCAATTGCCAATTTCTTAGTGAGCCCTCCTATCACCTCACCAGCTAAAATAACTTAAATCAATTAATATATTGGCTTCTATATGTCCCACTGAAGAAATGCCTATAAAAACTTCTACTCTCATTCTTGCTTACTTAGGATGGTAAAGACTTCCTTTGGTGAGGACTAATAACTGTGTCTACAATAACTCTTCTTTTGCTACTTCCAGGCAACTTCAACTGACTGTACTTGTTCCTTACACCCCTCTGCCCCTCACCCCAGAGGTCAGAACCCTCTACTCACTAAGCCAGGTGGCTTCATGCCATCATCAGTCAGATCTTCCATGAATTTCTCCAGGTTTCTGCCACTTGATTCCCATTTCTCTTTCAACATGGACCTGTCACTGCAGTAGCCATTGATCATAAATTGCTCCAGGACCAAACGAGAAATCATTTCATCCTTGCTGTGTTTTTCTGGCTGTAGCCAGGAGTGAAATAACTTATAGAGTCTTTGCAGTTCCTGCCTTGCACATGAATTCTTGCCATTTTGAAATAAGCTGTGTTGAGTGCTCGGGAACTTGGAGATCCTCTCCCCATCCTGGACAGCAGGTACTTGACGGGGATTAAACTCATGATTTTCTGACCCAGGATCATTCCTGGATGGTTCACCTTGAAATGAGATTCTGAGATCTAAAGCCATTCTTAAAACAATTCTCGGAGAGACACAACTTCAGGGATTCAGTCTCTGATGACTTGTTTCTCTGGGAGTCTGTTTCAACAACTAGTGGATGCTTAAAAACTGCAAGCTACAAATAGAAGAGATATATAATTAATTACAGACCTGGCATAATTAAAAACAAAAAATTTCAGCTTCAGATGAGTTTATGGGTGAATTCTAACAAACATTTAAGAAAGAAAGAATTCTGATCTTGCAAACTCTCTCAGAGCATTAAAAAAAAGTGTGAAGACTCCCCTTCTAGCTAATGAGTTCAGCAGCTCCCTGATAACAAAATCTTACAAGTACATTAAAGAAAGGAACACTACTGGTCAATATCTCTCACAAATGTGGGCATAAAAATCAAAAGCAAAATATTTGAAAATCAAATCTAGTCCCATATAAGGAGAACAATATATTACAAACAAGTGTGGTTTACTATCTAAATAGTTAAATTGGGTTAAAATTTAAAAATCAATGTAACTTACCACATCAGTAGAACATAGAAAAACACAATACAATTATCTCCATAGATGCATTAAAAATGTTTAATAAAAGTCAGTGCTCATTACTGAAAAAGAGATTTAGCAAACCAGGAACAAAGAGAACTTCCTTGATGTCAAAAAGTACACAAAATACAGCAAAAATTATCCTTAAAACTTTCCCCCCTTGAAATTGATCGATGGATGACCACTGTCAACTATGTTCAATATTGGATGCTCCCTAACCAGTAAAAGATGGTAAGAAAATATATCGAATATCATTATTTATATCTGTCTTGATTTGGTTTGCAGGAAAATCTCAAATATTCTACAAATATTCGACTAAGTGAATTTTTGCAAGATGCCTGATACAAGGCCAATATACCAAAATCAGTTGGATTATGTAATAACACAAGCAGCTGAAAATTAAAACAAAAAATACTTTACCACTTATATTACCATTAAACCTCAAATATCTAAGAAAAAATCCAGTGAAAATGTGCAAGCCCTCTACCCAAATATACAGTATTAATAAATATTCTATATATAAAGGATAGCCATGTTTATGGATTAGAAGACTCAGTATTATGGAAAATGTCATCTCTCCCCAAGTTGCTTTATAGATTCAATGTTATCTCAATGAAAATCCAATAAGTTTGTGTGCACATGTACATATGCAAAAATTTGCAAGCTAATTCTAAAATTATATAGACATAAAAGGGCTACAAATAGCCGAGACAATTCTGAAGAAGAATAATTTTTCAGGATTTACATAATCGGAAGACAAATGGATTAGGAGACTACACTGATCATGGTACAAGGGTAGATAAATAAAGCAACAGATTGAATATTGTCCTCATATAGATTGACATCTATGCAGTCACTTGCTTTCTGGAAAGCTTGACACTGAAGTGCATATGCAGAGGGAAAAGACTTTTTTTCAATAACTGGTGCTAGGTCAACTGAATATCCATAAAAGGAAAAATTAATCCTGACCCCTACCTTACAGTGTTTACAAAAATTAGTTCTAGATTGATTTAAAAAACAAAAAAACTCTGAAATATGAAACAATAAATCTTCTAGAAGACTACATGGAAGAATATGTTTAAGAACTTGTGGTAGGAAAAGATATCTTCAATACGACACGGAAAGTACTCAGCAAAAGGAAGAGACTCATATCCTGGACTGCGTTAAAATGAGAACTTCTGTTCATCAAGTAAAATCATTCATACATTAAAAAGACGAAGCACAGTATAGGAGAAGATAATTCCAATACATATACAAAACACAGAATGAGTTTACAATGAAGTCCTTCAAATCAATTAAACTGAAGACTGCTCAAGAGAAAAATGGTCAAAAGTACTTGTCAAAAGCAGATCTTAATGAATAATAAAACGGAAAGTGGTACAACCTCATTAATCATCCCAGAAACACAAAATAAAACTACGGTATCATGCTACAAAATACCTACCAGAATGACTAAAATCAAGTAGCCTGAATGATAGCGTAGACGAGAGCACCTGGAACTCCCAGTCACCACTGGTGAGTACTCACTATCTACTAGATCTGTATTTATACATTCTGGAGGCTCATCCATTTTACTCTTTGGCATATACTCAACAGAAAAATGTACTCATGTACATCAAAGACACATACAAGAATGTTTATGTCATCATAATTCATAATATTGCCATCTGTAAACACCTAAATGTCCAAAATTAAATGGAATAGATTACAATTAATTTATATAGAGGCATATTTGACAGCAATTGAAAATGAATGAACTGCTTCACGCAACAACATGGATGAACAACAAATCATAATGCTGACTGAAATAATACAGACACCAAACAATACATTGTTTATTCCCATTTATGTTAGTTGAAAAGCATACAAAATTATCAATATCATTTAGAATGTTGGTTACTTTTGGAGACAACAGTAGCTAGTGAGATAGGTACGTACATGGAGGCCTCCAGAGGAGGACTCCATCTCAGTTTGCCTGGGACTAAGGAGAGTTCCGGGATGCTGTACTTCCGGTTTTAGCTGGCAACAATCTACCCCTCGGTCTTGGAGGTCACAGGAGTGTTTCTCTGTAAAAATCCACCAAGCTATATACTTTCACTTTTTTATTTTCTGTATGGGCATTACATTTCAATAAAAATGTTCAGCTTTAAATACTAAATACGGCCTTAAATTGTAATTGGACACGATGTAATTGAATGAAGGTAGTGATCTGGTTCTTTCAGTTCTTTCAGTTATTATTAAAAAAACCGAAATCTTAGAAAAAGTTGAGAACAAAACGAATGAAATAGAAGAGAGAGGCCGGCATTTGTGCAAATGATCTCGTCCTGTGTTGGAAACTCCTCCATCAGATGCAACATCTGTATAGCCTCCCCCAGCTACACCCACTGGGTCGGTCCAATGATACATTCCTTAACTTTCCTTTTACTTTCATCTTTACTGTCTTTTTTCCATCAACAGTTACCCTTCTTGTGAAAAACATTTGTCCTTGCTTCACTGCTTTTATCAATGTCACAGTTTTGTGTTGATCTGTTTCTAATGCCTGTCCAGTGGAAATGAAGTTGAATTTGCATTGCTCAGTATCCATTTCTGACTGCAAATCGTGCTACCTGGGCAACCAGAGGCACGCCGCTAGGGATGCAGGATGGATAAAAGATTTAATCCTTTTTCTATATCATCGCTCTATTTTTGCGTCCTTTTCCCAATTTCCATATAGTTAACATTTCAAAGATTTGTGGGTTTTTTTCAAAGCAAATTTCATGCTACAAATCGGAAAATGTGGGTGTGTGGTGGGATTGAGACACCCCACATTTGTGGGCACACAAAGACCTCATTTATTTCCTATAGTTGGCATCATTCATTTCATACTTTGTGTCAACCTTACCTGGCTGTCTGATCAGACTAGCCACCCTGATCTCATCAATTAATGAGGCAAAGACGATTCCAGAAAAACCCCATAGGAGAAAACTGAACACAGCTCTTGTCTTTCCCTAATCTATTCACCACAAAGCTTCCAGTCAATCTTTATCAAATGCTAATCTGCTCAGGTCACACCCCACCTCACTCCCTTCCCTGGCTCCCTCTTGCCCCGGGGGAAAAGTACCAAGTCCTTCCTGGTCCCAAGGGGCCTTGCCTGGGCCTGCTCTCACCCCTCCACACCCATCTTAGGTGTTGTGGCTGGTTCTCCATGTCCAGGTACACTGGCCTCCCCCAGGACCTCTCCTTTCTCTAGGTCTCCCTACGAGTTCTCTTTCAGGACCACCCAAGGCACACACAGACCACACACTCACATTTGTAGATATGCACTCAATCCCATGGCTGTGGAGCACTACTATGACCAAGACCTTGAAATTCAACACCGGACTGCTATATTAAAAGTTCTCATCACAAGAAGAAAATATTTTGTAACTATATATTGTGATGGATGTTGACAGACTTATTGTGGTGATCATTTGGCAATATATACGAATATCGAATCATTATGTTGTATACCTGAAACTAATATTATATCTCAATAAAAAACAAAAGGAAACAAAAACATCCAGACTTGTGAGGTCCTTAATCTGGAGTCTAGCATTTACGAGCTGTGTGATCCCAGGCACATTACCCATCAGGTCCCCATCTGTGTCGTGAGGACTCTGATCTCTAATGACACCACCTCCCAAAGGTGTCATGGGAGCTAAAAGAGTGGATATATATGAAGCACAGGGAGCATTTACTGGCACATGCTAAGCAAGCACTCAGTAAAAGTCTGCTAAATAACTGACACTCATCCTTTAAATTTTAGCACTACTCTCACCTCAACTGGCCATTGACCAACAGTCGCACAAGAGCAATAAAAATGAATTACCAGAAACATAAAACTAATAAGATGACAAAGCCATACAAAAAGACTTTCCCAGGAGAAGTCTTCTTCAATCAGGCCAGGTTTTGCACAGCTAGAGCAGCTGTCACGACAGACCATCTCCCGTGCCTGAGAGACCCCCACCTCTTTGCACCTAGGAATTTTCTCCCCATAGCTATGCCTACATGCACATGCATGCACACTTGCAAACACAAAATTGGAAATTTTCCCTGTAAGTTCTGGAAACTCACCTCCTTGAATGAACGTCAAACCAGGTAATCCTGGGCTGAAGGCTGAACTGCTGTGTGACTGGCTTTCTGCACTGGCTTCATCTGATTGCCTTCCCCAGGCTCCTCCTTTTATAGGGTTAGGGATCAGTGATGCATTTAAAGACATGATTGGATAAAGTTTTCCCGTTGATGTAATCACTGTTGGAAACTTCATCCAGCTCTCCAATCCAATACGTACACTACTATATAACAGCCCTGGGCCTGGGACAGTTGGCCATAATCAAACACACTAATATTTCTGCAGTGAAGTGTAACAATATTCACACTGAGTGGGAATAAAAACAGAACCAAACCATTTTTACCTATCCACTGCCCAGCCCCCATCATCCTTCTCCCATAGTATGAGGTCAGCTCCTGACTGGCCTA